GGCCTTCTATGCCCAAAGATGATGAACCTGTTAGGTTTTACAGCAATTCAACAAATTAAGAATTACTTTAAGAATGTGGTGACAAAACCTAAACAGTGTATAATTCCAATCAAATGATACAACAACCAATATTAATTAAAGTATTACAAACCAAGCACTAAAGAAACAATGTAATTCAAAAATTACAAAAAAAATACTAATGTGAAAGATTATACACTTGCCTCACTCCAAGCCAAAGAATCCAACAAGAACATGAGAATACCAAGGACTACGTGAGTCTTCAATACCGGATACTTGTCTAAGGCGTGTAAACACTTTCCTAAAGTGATTATTTCCCCCACCATGGTGCTTGGGTTGAAACCGGAAAGTTACTTTGAGATACAATAGACAAACACTACAATGTTTGCACTAGAATTGTAGTAAGATAATCAAATTCTCAAAATTAACTTAAATGATAGAGTATTTCAAGAAGAGATTGCAAGTTTCTTAGAGAAATTGTGAAGAAGAGTGAAAATATTAGAGAGGAAAAAATCAGAGAGAGCAAAAACCCGGAATACAACTTCTTTTAAAAGAACGTAGGAAACAACTGCCAGAAAAAACCGCAAAACAAGGAGGAGCGGGCTAGTGTTTTCCCCGTCCCAATGGTCATAGTTGTGTTTATTTGAGCTCTATGGAGCTACTTTTGTTACTAATATGCGTTTTCTAATTTTTTCATAGATTTGGTATTGTTTTATAGGAAATTGCGGATTTGGAGCATTTTCCCAGATTTATTGGAGCCGGTACAAACATTGGAGTAAGGTCGCATTCATATGACCACATTCCGAAGCCCAAGATCGGTTGAAGTCATCAAATCGGTGATTAAGGGCTCGGCGAAGAAGAAGAGTCCGGGGCAATGGACCATGTATTCAGAACCCAAAGAGGAAATGCGAATTGGGCTAAGAAACGGCCCAATTGAAGAAGTCCAGGTTTGCCCGAGAGCTCGCTCGGCAGGGCAAGCCCTCGCCCGAAGGCGCGCCCGGCAGGGCAAGCCCTCGCTCGAAGGCCCGCCCGGCAGGACGAGGAAGAAGGAAGAGAGTAGCTGCTCGCCCGAAGGAGGGCCCGGCAAGGCGAGATGGCGCCCGACCGAGCGCGTGTTTCTGAGTTCGTTTAGCACTTTTAATCTTCGTTTTAGCTTAGTTTTTCTTAGTTTAATATAAATACGCTTTTGTTAAGCGAGTTTGGGTCCTTTTCTCTCTGTCTCTCTCTCTCTCTTTCTCTACTTTTCTCATTAGTTTAATTTCTTAGTTTTTAGTTTTAAGCTTTTAGTTAGTACTCTTGATCCCTCTCGACACTTTTAGTTTATGCAATTCTTTACTTCCGTCTACTTTGGTAACGATTTCTTCCCTCTTTACTTTCAGTAATTTAATTGCTTTGATTTAATTATGCTTTCATTAATTGCCTTGCTTAGTTTAGATTTAAATATGTGCGAGTAGTGTTATTTCTAGGGTTGTGGGGATCCATAATTAATATGACGGAGTAATTTATTATTGTTGCTTGTCAATGTTTTGGTTGATTTCCTATTGATTGATTTAATGCTAAGCAATTAGATTTGCACAGGTTTAATTGTATGAGTTATGCAATATTGATTCGAGATTCGAGAGATGAGAATTGATGTTTAGGCTTAGTTTCAATAGGCAGATTGATTTATAAATGGTTAAGTTAAGATTCAAGAGATGCGATTTATTACCGGTAGATTAATTCTATGATCGTAATACGTAGTGAAAGCCCTTTATGATTTGATTAATCTATGCATTGATGATTGATTATTATGTTTTACCCTGGAATATTATTTATTGGTGAACCTATACCCTAGGCCTTTTATTATTGTTTTCCTCCCTTATTTAATTTGCTTCAGTTTAGTTATTAGTTTAATTCTCACAAAAACAATTTGGTTACTTAATAATTTAGTGTATATTAATTAATTAGGAATAGAAAGACCTGTTTCTCTGTGGATTCGACCCTACTTCCCTATCTATATTAGTTAGTGGTTTTAGGAGTTACTTTTGATTAGGTGATATGACTTTAGCCTGTCACACACCTCAATGAGCACATCCAAATCATTTAGAATTAACCATACACACCACTATACTAGCACTAATCAATTGCAAACAAATACTATTGATAGTCTAATTAGTCAAGTAGAGAGAATTGGAGAATTGCCTAACAATCTAGGTCACTCCCGCACACACTAAGCCATTAAACTCTCAACCCCGCCTATGAAGTCGTGGTCAACTAAGCAATGAAAATTTTCTATTAGACTAGCTCACTCGCGCACAACTAGCGTAATTGCGATTAAATCATGATATCGATTAGCTAAAAAGACACCAAGCATTAAGCCCTTCATTATTAGTTCAATAAACCAATACTCCCAAACAAACCATCAATAATAAAGTGTTCAATTTGCACATTAATCAACAATCATCCCTAACCCTAGCTAAGAAACTAAACTAACATGACTAAATTAACAAGACAATGAAACTAACACAAACTAAACTAACAAGAACAATTAACATTAACCAATAAAGAAGAACAAGGAAGAAACTAAGAACAAAAACAATGAAGAACAAGGGAAGAGCAACAAAGAAGAACTATTAAACTAATCAACTACTCTAAACATTCAATAAAATAAACAAAGCAATAAGTAAAGAAAGCAATAAAATTGAGATAGAGTTTAGAATGCTTATTGAATTGTTGAGGAGAAATCAAACACAATGTCACATTTGCATCTTCATCTCTTCAAAAACACATTAAAGCTCTTCACTTTCTCTCTCTAAACTACTCATAATCTAAATTACAAACTACAAAACAAGGATTAAAATTAGATTAATCCTAATCTATGAATTAAGAGGAAGAAGAAATTGGGGTTTCATCCCCTAAAAGGAGAGAGAACCCCATGGAAAACCCTAACTCTAAGCTACTCTCTCCCCTTTTAAAATTCAAGAGAAAAGCTATATATAGTGTCTAAACAAAAGCGGAGCTGCAACAGAGGAAAGGCCTCTCCAGGCTGCACCGCGCCCTCTCCGCCATGGGTACTGTTTAGAGTAAAAATACCCCTGACAAATGGACCTATGTTGATGTGACACGTGTCCCTACGCTTAACGCTTAATGAGCCAATTAGGGCATGCCACTTGTCATCCTAAGGGGAAAGCGGGCTTTAAGTCCACAGCCCTAGAAACCGCAAAGCGGGAAGAGGCCCATCAACTTAAGTAAAATAACCTAAGAGGCACTTACCCCCAAGACTCTATAAATACTGATCATTTACATCAGTTAAAGGGGACTCAATTGAATAACATACACACATTCAATCCACACAAATCAGAGAGTGAAACACTAAGATATTGAGGCCGTCTCAGACAGCCGGAAGATCACTCCTCTCCCAAGAGGAGCCTGATCACATTTACATTCCGTACTTTACTCCTCATACACGTTCTAACTTGATCGTCGAAGGCGGAACTCCCACCCCCGGGAGTCTCCATTGTTTTGCAGGTACAGGCAGCCGGAGGTCAGTCTTGGTGTTGTAACTCTCCCGCAGGACATCAAAAGACCCCCAAACAGGTACGATTTTCAGACCCTCTTCGCTGCGCCCTCTCCACTCACTGCCGTGCCCTCTCTGCTGTCTAGAGAGCCCTCTCTTGGCTATCTCCCAACCTTCTCCAGCAACTTTGGGAACCTCCAACAAAGCATCGGAGAGGCTTCTCCTGAGCTTCTCCTAGCCATCTCTAGAAAATTTAGGCTTCTCCCAGGCTTTGCTAGAGAGCCCTCTCCGGGGCTTCTCCAGAAGACTTGGCAAGGTCTTTTGAGGTCTAGAGAGGCCTCTCCCGAGCTTCTCTCATGGCTCCATAGCGCTTGACTTCTCGAGGCTCGTGAACGGCTTCCCGAACTACCCTCTTCTCTCGATTTCCACCTCTTTGGCCTACAAAACACAAGAAATATCCCAAAAGTAGTACAAATAGGCAAATAAGAGGGGAATACGAAGGGATTAGCGTAATGATCGGAAAAACGGTGGAAAACCAAGCGAAATAGGCTTAAACAAGCGACAAGCGTAGGGAAATGTCATGGAAATGAGGCCTAAATAGTGGCATAAATGCTACTTATCACTTCTAGTATGGAAATCAACCCAAATTGATAGAGAATACTAATATGGCTAGTGCAAATCGGAACTAGGAATTATTCTAAATTGATTTTTTAAATGATATGAAAATTTATACATGTCCAATCATATAAGGAGTAATGATATAAATTTAACAACTAGTTTTTGTATAGACCAATGTAGGAGGATGAAGTATACTATTTCATAGATCCAAACACAACTGTATTTATGAGTTAATTACCCATATAAACACAGATTTCGAAGACTTCAAATCTAATTATAATTTTAAACCTAAACAACATTACATGTAATAAGAATTGAACTGAAAAAACCCAGAATATAAAAAGGGTAAGACATATCTCAAGTGACGTTTGTACAACTCGTGATTATTGAAGAAGATTGAAGATCTCAAATTTCACCCTTGTGGAAGAAGATAAGAGGAAGAGAGAGAAATAGAAGAGTGAGAATGAGAATGAGAATGAGAAGTGCAGTGGGTTTGTGTCTTGTGACGGCTTGGAAAGAATTTAGGACTTTAGGGCTTGTTTTTTATGAGTATTATTTTTTATTATTTTCATTTTTTAGATTTATTTACTACTACAATATTTAGCATCCAGAAATCTAAATTATATTGCACAAAACTATAGAATACTGATTATGACCAATTTATTTGCATAAAAAAATCTTAACGGGCTGGGCGGGCTGGCCCGGAATAATTTTAGACTTGCCATATCCCGCCCGTTAATGCAAGCGGGCCGGGCTCAGCCCGCCCAAATAATTTTTTCCTAAAAACTACTGTCCAAGCCCGTTAATAAGTGGGCCGAGCGGGACGGGCCTAGCGGGGTTTCCCGTCCGTGATCAGCTCTAATTTTTGGGTAAGAGGATGAAATTTTGAATTACGGCAAAACCCTTGAACGATACTAGTGTGACAGCGTTCCCAAAGGCTATAGGCAGCAGAACGATGAGCTCTGTCGACTGTGGTGCTATCCAGGGAGAATCAACGTCGTCGGATAACGGCGACCAACCTCAACGTCCGCCCAAAGTCCCTAGGATCGAAGAAGAAGAACAACAGGAGGAGGAAGTTGAAAGCATGAAGCCACCAAAACCTGGATTACAGCGTTATCTTGTGGCTTTTGAATATATTGGCACCCATTTTTCCGGCTCCCAGCAACAACGCGATCAGAGAACTGCTGTTGGTGTTCTTCAGGTGTCTTTCTCTCCTTTCTCATTGCACTTTTTTTTTTGTTTTTTTTTTGGTGAAATTATAATGATTGATGGGATTTTTGCTGTGTTGAGAATTCGAATGTGAGGTTAAGCATATGCCCTTTATAAATTTGCTAATGAGGCAACAAAGGTTGCTATGATGTGAATTGGAATTTGACACTTCCTCTGTTTTTATTTAATTTGTACACACCACTTAGACGAACATTTTAAAAAGATATTAGATTAGGTAAATGGACAAATTAATTGAAATAATATTACCACCGATAAGAAAAAAGTGTTAAGTTGTTACAATTTAAATTTTATAATATAATTTTATACGTTTGTTTACCTTTTCTAATCTGTTCCTCAAATAACGTGTTAAAAAGGTGTGTTGCAAGTATAAGATAACAAAGGAAGCATTATTTACTTTGTATATGGGATTAATCAATACTTCGTATTTGTAAATGAGGCAACAAAAGCATTACCAATAGTCATAATTGATTGATGATATTTTCGCGTATATGTGAATTTGAATTTGAGGCTAATGTATAAGCTTATTGAATTTTCTGCAACACAATGGTGGTAATATTCATAAATGGTTGATGTAAGTATATCTTATTTGCAAATTCAAGGTCTATGTTGGGATTTTTCTTAATTTTTCTAATATTGGATTTTTGCAGTATAATAGCCCATTTGGTAACTGTTCATAAACAATACTAAAGAAAATGAATTTGTATGTAAATTTGAAAAGAAAATTAATGTTCATTCCCATGAACATTCAAGATGACATCAAAATTGTCTATTTTAAATCATGAAATTTCATTTCCACCTAATACCACCTTCCAAGTGTTAATGGAGAATCATGAACAAAACACATGCTTGGGGGATGAGAATCTGAGATTGTGTTCTTATGGAGATTATAGGTTATTTTCCATACTAAATTACACTGAAATTTTATCTTCATTACCTCAATTTTTTACCGGCTACTAAAAGGGCCAAAGATATTTTTCTTATATATTCTATTGATGCAACAAAAATAGTTGCAATGATTTTTAAGTGGTTGATGGTTTGCTTTTTTTGTGAATTCAAGGCTTGTATTCACAATTTTCTAAACTTGCTCACGAGGCAGCAATGTTTATAATTAATGTTTAGTTGATGAATTTTTATCTTTTATTTTTTATTTTTTTTGGTGGTTGGTGCAGAATGCTTTTCAGAAATTTGTAGGGCAACCAGTTTCAGTTTTTGGCTCTAGTCGAACGGTATGTTAATGTTTCATCCCCTTCTTCTCCCCTAATGTGAAATGTCATATTTGTTTTATATGAGAAGCACTTTTGAGCTTAACCACTAAGCTAAATGAAGTGAAGAGTGAGCTGAAATGCATGTACCGGACGTCAGCTATAATGATAGCGTTTACCTTTTCTTGCTTTGTGCTTAACAAGCTGTTTAACACAATTTTTTATTTACTCATGATTTTTTCATTTTGGGCTTATAAAAAACGTCAAATCAATCTACGGATGGCTGTAAGCTTAAATTTGTATTGGTTGAGAAGGTGATGCTGTTCAAGCCTTAAAATGGCTCTTTCAAAATCAATTGACTAGATACGTTGGAGTTCTGTGCCTTTTAAGTCAGACAAAAGAGAGAAACTATGCTATCTTAGGAGTGATGTGGAGTTTATCTAGTATGTAATCACTCCGTGTGACCACTCCTCTAAAGTATAAACTGGAGTATGCCCTTTCCCGGTTTAATTAGTTTCAGTTGGTCCCTCCTGTGCACAACCTTGAAAGGTGTATGTTTAGTTGAGGTATATGGGGTGAGGTATTGCAAAAGTACTTTGTTCATATTAAGTAGCCATTTTTCCTAGGTTTTGGGTTTCTCAGCCATGATAGCGCAGCCAAGAATCACACTCAACTCCTTTTTACATATATGTGTAATTACCTATTTCTTAGTGACACCGAAAGCATAGCCCTTTGTTCTTTTTTTCCTATAGCACATGCTATGCTAGTCTCTTTGTTTATCCTCTCTTCTGAGTAGAAAATGTAGAAACTTTGGAATTGTGGTTTATAGAGGCTTGGGATTTGTGGGGAATTCAGTTCCCACCTTTCCAGAACACGGGTTGGATTGAGCTCCCCAAGTGTATGTTTTAAGAATTTGGATCTCTGCCTTTATCTCCTCTTTCAACCCTTTTATAAACTGCGCAAGTGCCCCATCATAATACATTCCGGCACATCATCTAGTGGTGCTGTAAGCAAAATAAACTTCTGGCGATAGTCTTTGACACTTGGGTGATGGCTAGCCACTGTTCATGAAAAGTGCCAGAGCTTTTCAGAATTGACGAAGGATGCACCCTTTTAGATCAGCTCAATCTTTCATGTGTCGCTGGCGGTGCTCTTGTTTGAACCATCACAGCGCATCTCTCTCAATAGCCACAACTTTCGCCTACATATTCTCCTCATTGTAAGCGCATCTCCCTGATGACTTGAATTGCAATTCACTCTAGCCTCACAGCAAAAATAACAGGAATGCACTAGAAATTTTTAAAGAAAGACTGGAACTTTAAGTTTAGATTTAGCAAAACATAACACAAGGTTGTAGGTTTCGAGAGACTACGTCTCTCCCAAGATACTAGATTACACTTTTTTTTTATTATTATTTTTTTAAGCCTAAGAAGGCGGTTGGCCCTTATGGTGTACCGATAGAGGTGTGGAGGTGTTTGGGAAAGATTGGTATTGATTGGTTAACAGACCTTTTCAACAAGATATCAATAAGATATGGACGGTTACAAGGATCCCGCAAGATTGGAGGAAGAGCACCTTTGTCCCGATCTATAAAAACAAAGGAGACGCTCAAGATTGTTCTAACTATCGAGGGATCAAGCTTATGAGCCACACTATGAAGTTGTGGGAAAGGGTGATTGAACATAGGTTGAGGGCAAGCATTTCGGATAACCAATTTGGTTTTATGCCTGCGAGATCTACTATGGAAGTAATTCATTTGATAAGACAAATAATGGAGTTTTATAAAGTAAAGAAGAAGGATCTTCATATGGTCTTTATTGATTTAGAGAAGGCATATGATAAGGCGCTAAGAGAGGTACTTTGGTGGGCAATGTTGAAGAAAGATATCCCACGAAGGTACGTGGACCTGGTTAAGGATATGTATCGGGATGTGTCAACAATGGGGACATGTGGAGGGTTGACAAAAGATTATCCTATTACAATCGGATTGCATCAAGGGTCTGCATTAAGCCCTTTTCTTTTTGCAATGGTTCTAGATGAAGTAACTAGACCAATTCAAGATGAGTATCTATGGTGTATGTTGTTTGCAGATGATATCGTTTTAGTGGGTGAAACTAAGGATGGGGTTAATGCTAAGTTGGAGCAATGGAGGCAAAGGTTGGAATCTAGAGGGTTTAAGCTAAGTCGGAGTAAGACTGAATATTTGGTATGTCATTTTGGCACTCAGAGGGGGACAAGCAATGAAGTGGTGAGTTTGGATGGAAAGGATTTGACCTTGAGTGAATGCTTTAAGTATCTTGGGTCGATCATCTAGAAGAATGGTGACATTGATCAAGACGTGGCTCACGGATTAAGTCAGGGTGGCTTAAATGGAGAGCGGCCACGGGAGTGTTAAGTGACCGAAGAATTTCCTTACAGTTGAAGGGAAAATTCTACAGGACTTCCATAAGACCAGTGTTGCTCTATGGTACAGAATGTTGTGCTTCTAAGAAGGAGCACATTAAAAAGATGGAGGTTACGAAAATGCTTATGTTAAGGTGGATGTGTGGGAATATTCTAAGAGATAAAATCAGGAATGAGCTTATTCGCAAGAAAGTCGGTGTGGCAGACATTGCAGATAAGCTAAGGGAAAATCGCCTGTGTTGATTTAGGCATGTAAGACGGAGACCCGAAGGTGCACCGGTGCGAAGAGTGGAAGAGTGGGACCATGGAGGGGTTAAACGAGGGAGAGGGAGACCAAAAATGACTTGGTTGGAAGGAGTTAGGAAGGATATGAAGTGTATGGATTTGCATGAGGATGAAGCATTGGATCGTAAGGGATGGAGGAGGAAGATTTATGTCGATGACTACACGGAATAATCAAATTTGGTTTATGTTAGCTGACCCCACTTATGGGATTAAGGCTTTTGATTGATTAATTTTTTTTTATTTTTTTATAATCCTGAATGCCCTTCTCACTAGCTACATTTCCCTTATACATCGTAGTCCATAATCATGTAATGGCATAGGTAATAAGTGTAGGTGGTTTCTCTTGATTTGTTGTAGTTAGCTTACAGATGTTGCCTGAATAATGAAGGTCCATATCTAGGTTGATTCCTTCTTAACCTTCCCTTTAATTTATAACTAGTGTGTGGCCTAGCAACGCTTTGGGTTAATACTTTGTACTTGTTTAGTTTGAAATTGTGTTTGACTTTTTTTATTTTTACTTAGAGGTTTGATAATTATCTAGAAAGTTTCTTATCTTGAAAAAAGATTTTAAATTGACTTATTTGGTGTATCTTTTTGAGTAATTTTGTTCTATATTATTTTTCGGCCATTTGTATTTGGAGAACAATGTTCAATAGTATGTTTTAATCCAAAAATATTCAACAACTATTGATAATTTACTGAAAAATAAAATTATTACTTCCTATATTTTATCAAATAGAATAAAAATACAATTTTCAAAATTAAAGGTGCTACATTGCTATGATCACTACATAAAAACAAAATAGGACAATTAGGCACTCATCATATCCGAGTTAACTATATGTTGGGTATGAAATCATAGTAAATGAATAGCTAAGATGGTATACTTGTAATGTAACACTTGTTGGTCTTATGTTCAAGCCTTTGTATAAGCCTCTTTGGTTGGTTATCACATCTAATACATGTTATACTTATATAGGTGATAGGTGACGTGACATGTTTATAGTGCTTGAAACGAATGACACGTGACGTATATAATTAGGAATGCTTTTTAATATATAAGTATTAATTCTTTATAACAATTTCTCCTTGATTTACGATTATTACTTTTATATATGAAATATTTATTTTATTTGAGTTAAGGCTAATATAGTCGTCCTAATAAAGCGAAATTCAAGCCCTCCTTTTTAGCTGTAGTTGAAACAATCCAGAGTGAAGGCGTATAAGTTGGGGAAGATTAGAAGTGGAAGCTATCATATAAGGCCTATAAGTAATTATCTGTTCTCTCAAATCAACAAAGCAGATAGATTCTCTTTTTATCAAGTGCTATGCGGATACCTCTTTCTCACCATGGAAATTTATGTTAATCATTGAGATTTGGTGTGCATTCACAGTTTGCAGTTTATGGCCCTGCAAATATATCAGCTAATTATGTAATATAACATCTTGCTAATAATTTTTTGTTTATATGTGCTTATGATAATTATCTTCTTATTTTGCAAAGATGGATATTTTGGTGGATAGTATCGTAGATTTTATGCCTTCATTTGCTTACTCCACATAAGAAACTTAAGGAATAAGCCAAAGTAGAAGGGGAATTTATAATTATGTTCTCGTTATGCAGGATGCTGGCGTTCATGCCTTGTCAAATGTTTGTCATGTAGATGTTGAACGCACTAGTAAGAGGAAGCCAGGTGAAGTGGTAATGCTCACTCGTTAATTATTTCGTACATATGCTCCCTATATATTTATCTATGTAAAGTCTTCTCAAACTTTTAATGTGGTTTTAGTTGCTTGATTTTCCTCTCTTTTATCCCCCCCTTATTCCTTGTTCATTAAACTTTCTCATTTTTTTTTAATTTTTATTTTATGATTACCTTTTGGGGTTTAACTTTACCTTGCCTTTGTTTTTTCTCACTATATTTCTTTCTCTATTTTCGTTCACTTTTGTTACTTTCCTTTCTTTGTTCCTTGTTTTTGTGGTCGGTTCCTTATGTTGATTCATTTTAGCCGACCCCAAATCATTTTGGGACTAAGGAGGCTATATGTCAAAGTGATTTCAGCTTACATCAATGCTGGTTTCTTTTCTTTATGCAAATCTCTTTGAATATGTAGATGTAATTTGAGAATGGGAAGTTTGACATGCTTAGGTTGCAGAAACTGTTATGGAACCTGCAGTGTCCACCACCAACCTTTTATTTCCCCAAGGCATGTGGATGGGGAAGAGTGTGACATTGAAATTAAAATTCTATAATGGCATGTAGTAGTTAAATTGAATTTATAAATTTTAGGAAATAATGTTATTTCTGGTAACAGCCTAACAGGTTATGACTGCTTCCTGATATTGCTAGATTACTATTGTACTTTCAGTGTGAGAACACGAACTGAAGAGATTCTCTATATCTATGCATAATTGCTTCTATTACAGAAAAATCTTGTATGAGTTATAGGTTTCTATTATACCTATTAGTTAGCTATTGCATCACAAGCAGTCTTCTAATACTTCTTGCGGAAGATTTTCACAACCATATGTCATAGCTAATTATTCTGAGATTTTTGTTCCTTAAGATCCTGTCTGGGTGGCTACAATCTGTTTGCGAACAATCTTTATATTGATTCACTTTTTCTCAACAAAGACCTAATTCTCTCCTAAATTTATGTTCCCAATAGAAATAAAAAAAGTTCTTTTGGGGACTGAGAGGAATATTTCCTTAATTCTATGATGCTCATCCTCGTGTGAGTTGTGTCAACATGACCTGATCCAGTTGTGAACATGGAATCCATGTCAGAAGTAGGAAAAAGGCCTGAAAGTTGCTGTCTGGAATGTCTTGAGAAGATGATTTGAGTAAACTATCATATCTATGGACTAAGGTTCAATTGGTAAACATTAAAGGTTTGCTCCACTAATTTAAAATTTGAGATATTGGGGCTATTTTTATTTTTCTTTTGTTTTTTTTGAAAACTCGGTTGAATTAGTTCAGAATCCTCATTTTTTTTTTTTCTTGTTATACATTGGGTAAATTGTTAAATCTGTAGCTCTTCATTCTCAGCAACTTGATACCATATAGGATGTTGACCCCTGTTTAGTTGGTTGTAAGTATTTAATAATTCCTTCAATAGCTGGTATAAGATGGTCAAAAGAATTATATAGTTCTAGGTTTGGCATTTATTATATTCAACAGCATCTTTTGTTGGTTCGTACCTGTTTTGTTGGTTCTGTGCATCTTTTGTTATCTTTTTTTCCCCTTGTTGGCAATGAGGCATCTTGCTAATAATTGCAATCTCTTCCCCTCCCCTCATAATCATCTCTTTCTCTTGACCTTTTATTTTAAACAGATAACTGTGATTCAAATCTATTATACATCCTTTTCTGATTGATATGCAAATTCTTTGTTGTTTCTTTATAATATAGTTGCAACCGCACGAACCTGCTGTTGTTAGAAGAGCTGTGAACCATTTTTTACAGGTAACTTCATGTTGTTCAGACATCTTTTATTTGAAAGTAATTTGTGGTTTGTACATTAATTTTATACAAAGTTTTTTTTTATTTATTATTTTTTTTTAATTACCATTGTTTTTTACCGTAGAAAGGAGTGCTCGCGTCTTGTGGTGAACACATGATAAGCCTCTTGCCGTTCATCTTTTTCCAGCTTTTGAATGAGATGTTTAAAGGATAAACTTTCACTCTAGCTTATGAATGTTTGCGAGCTCTTGTGGACATTGTGTGGATTATTACACTGAAACAACGCCAATAAGTATAAGAAGGCAACAGACACTTACGGCTATGTATGGTGCAACTTGATTTAAATTATTTCAATCAAGACAATAATTCCTGATGCAAGATAAGTTTTAAGACACATTCATAAAAAAAAAAAAAAAAAAAATTGATAATTTCACATGAATAAAACTTTTTTAACAGCATAAATTTTTTCATAGATAAAAGTGAACCGATAATACAAAGTAATGTACTTCATATCGCCTAACAGAATCTAAGGCTTTTAACGAACATTTGATCGGACAAGGGATCATATAAGACCAAAAATTGTCCATGACACAGAAATTTTTTATTTTGGAATTGGTTCGCTTTGTTATCAAGAACCACTTTTTGAAAGGAAGGAAAATTGAAATTTTGTATCTTATCCTTTTCACTTTGTTTGGATAGCTAGATAAAAGGGTTAGGAAGGAGAGCGAAAGAGGAGGAAGGGGGAGGGTGGAGCTCCGTTTTTCCTTCTAATCCCTTCAATGTTAGAGGGATGGTGTCTACAAAAGAAGGAGAGCGAAAGAGGAGGAAGGGGGAGGGGGAGGGTGGAGCTCCGTTTTTCCTTCTAATCCCTTCAATGTTAGAGGGATGGTGTCTACAAAAGAGGGGGTGGAAAATCCTATCCATTCCTTCTTTCCTCTCCATTCCTTCTTATCTAAACAAAGTGTGTTATTTTTTGTATTTGCCTCCAATATATATATATATATATATATATATATATATATGTATGTATGTATGTCTGTATGTATGTATGTATGTATATTTGTCAATTGTTTATTGAGGAAAATGGTCAATTAACTTTTTCATTGAGTCTCATAAAGGCCTTTTTGACAATCTTATAAATTAGGAATGATGCATCCTAATGATTCTGTTGAATGCTTATATTAGTGCTCTTACTTCACCCTTTGGACTTTCTATTATCTACACGATTAGAATAGTTTTTTGACCATTTGTATCTAATTGATATTTATGAATTTGTCTACTCTTAAACACAAATTTATTTATATTCGGATATTATGGATTAACGTAGTTTTATAATATTGATTAGGCAATCTAAAATACAAATGGCTAACATCTAATCTACTCGTATAATATATAAATTAGGAATAATGTTTTCGAAAAAGGAGGAGGGTCACGGTAGGCTAGTGACAGCTAGTGCAAAACTTTGTCACATCGCTTGACATGAGCCACAATGATTGAGAGTAGTACTAGGATGGGTGACCTCCTGGGAAGTCCTCATATTGGTTCGTGTAGCTGATCCCACTTATGGGATTAAGGCGTTCAAGAAGAAGAAGAAGAAGAAGAAATGTGCTGAAAGCTTGTATTAGTGTTCTCACTTCACCCTGAAAGTGCCATTTTCTTTTCTTGTAATTCACGATATCTGATTGTTAATATTTCATTTCAAATGGTAAATTCAGAGGCAGAGAGAGATCATAAGTTGCTTAGGTATTGTGTGTTGGGAATCCTGATGAGTGTCTCTAATTTGGTCACCTCAAATGATATACACTATGATTTATAGAGGAATAGTCTAACAAATATTCAATTGATCACTTGCTTTGTTTCCATTAGGTGATTTTATTTTTCTAGCAAGCCATTATGTTAGCCACCTCCTCTCATTTATTTATATTCAACATTTTTTCTTATTGGCCCTTGCTTTTATGCTCTTTCAATAGATACTGAGTACATTCTAATATGTGTGGCAGAAAGAAGGTGACATAATGGTTATTGATGTACGTAGTGTTCCCTCTTATTTTCATGCCAGATATAAGGCTCAAGAGCGCACGTAGGTATTTGCTTACTCCATGCCTATCCTTTTACTCAATTTGAGTGAAATAGATTATCTTTTTAATTTATAACCCTTTTTAAAGTATGCCAATATTTTGTTTCAATCCATTGTGTGATGTATGTGTGTTTGATGCCAAGAACTATAACCTAGGAACAAACATATGGCATGTCTTTGAATATTCGGCGCCTCTCTAATATAAAGAGAATATAGCTGGGTGTGTGTAAAAAACAAATTACGGGGTAAGGGGAAGAGTAAGATGGTAAAAAGTGTGTATAATAAATAAGATAAAGTAGATTGGGCAGATAAAAATAGGAATAATCAAAATAGAAAGTGGGTAGAACAAAAAGGAATGTCAGCAGTATATGGAATTGCATGTACATATTACTATATGTATAAAATTAAAAGGGGTAGAACAATAAAAAAAAAAAACAGAGCATCTAAAGGAGATCGAAGTAGAACAAAAGAAGGAATGAAGGGAGTATATAAAATAGCATATCATGCTATAGAAACCTTGGTATAAAATGTATAGTGTTTGAGATTACTAACTATTGATACTCTTTCTTTAGAAGTTGCTAATGGATTTCAATCATGCTGGATAATTCTAGATTTACTTCAAATAGCATGGAAATTTCATTTTTGAATTATTTATTTATTTGTTTAATTTTTGCCAATTTGTAAAGAATGAAGAAAACTAGGCATTTCTCCAAGTAGATGTTGCCAGGTTATCATCTTTAGCCACAACCGTTCTGGGAACATGACAACAAAAATACTTAAGGTTATTAGTCATGCATGATTGATATGTATCTCTAGGTTCTTAATTTCCGCTCTTCTAAATTGGGATCTCTGATGGCCAACATGGCGACATTGCATTCTTCTTAGAGCCCGTTCTTACTTCCTATCCAAGAGAGGCGCAGTTTCTGTCAATGCGTGATGGAGTATTGCCAGCATAGCTCTGATCACGCAACATTTTTACTTCCTGGCTTTAGGATGATGTTTTCGTTTGATATTATCTATCCAATTGCCGCTTCATTTAACCTTTCTGGTTTGTCTTTCCATGTACTATTGGTTTCAGCAATGACTTGTGATCCCTCTAACTAACCCTTCCCATTTGCTCCTTGAATGGGTCTATAGTCTAGAGATTTTTAAAGCCCTTTATCTGGTTGTTGACATACTTTAAGTCTCCCTTTCCACTCATTGATTAATATCATTAGATGTTCGGGGCTAGAGGATATTTTTCAGAATATCACTTCATTTCTGTGTAACCAGAGACTCCTAATTGTGGCAAAGAAGTAACTCACACCATTGGAGTCTTCATCATTCTTCTTCATAAGGTAATTCAATCCTCTCATCAATCGGTGGATTCATTTAAGAAATTCTAAGCCTAGATCTCCATATTCATAAACACTCTGCGAGTGATCGACTCCTTCGCATGGCCACTAAAGACACATTCATTATATTCTCTTAACTACTGCACTAGTTCACATGCTAAGCATCATTCATTACTTCCCCACAAATTTTGTTTCCTCCACCCTTTCATTTCTCATGATCCATTTGTATCCTAATTTCACCCAAGGCGACCCATTCCATAGGAATTCATCTTCCTCCCTACTTGAACTGATGTGATTGCTAAGGATTTCCTTACCTCCTATTAAAATGACTTCCAAATGAGTCTTTGGTTCCATGGCCTATTATCCAGGTTGAAACTAGAAACCATCTTGATTTTTTCATGCTCTTGCGGAGGCATGGAGGCTTTCATTTTAGCTGCTCTTGTGTACCTGCTAGAGATTAGTATGAGAAACAGTGAGATAGCAAGCTAGAGAGATAGAATCAATGGCAACCAAGGGAATGATAGAGTATTGTTGAACAGAATATCCAACAATACAGACCTTCTTTCGAGAGGAAGGAGCTCTCCCAAAACAAACCTCTTGATTAATTTCTTGATACATTCCCCTTTCACCAATCACCTATTAATACCCCAAAATTAATCCCTAAAACAGACTTAAACACACCTTAAGCATGCCAGCCAAAAATTAACAAACTCATAACAAACTTATCTAAAGATTACTGTTTTACCCTTCTCCCCAAACTGAATTTAACAACCTTACAACTCAGCATTCTTCCAGCTAATTCTTGTACTTCAATACCCCATTCTCAAAGGTGAACCACTTGGGAGTGTTCTCTCCGTTCTGAAGCTGAGAAAGTAAGCGTTGCATCACCCCATCCTTCTGTATAAATGATTGCATGTAGTCCCAACGCAGGCCACATGAAGTGACCTTGGAATAACACTCCACATCCGAGCTAATGATTGCACGTAGTCCCAGTACGAACAATGAAGTGATGACCCAATAAGTAATGTCTCCATTTCTCTACGGCAAACACTATAGCCATCAACTCCTTTTCATATATAGGCTTGTCACGATTTCTCAAGCCTATGATCTTACTGAATTAGGCTATCGGATGGTCTGCTTGCAACAAAACTGCACCCAAACCATGCCCTGAAGCATCGGTTTCCACCACAAAGGGCAAGGAAAAATTTAGAGCAGCTAAGATCGGGGCACTCACCATAGCAGGCTTGAGGGCTGTGAAAGTTGTGCTAGCAGCCTCGGTCCATCCAAAATTGTCCTTGCGTAATTGATCAGTCAAGGGTTGTGCAATCATCGCATAGCCTTGTATAAACTTGCGATAATAGCCTGTAAGACCAAGAAAGCCTCGGAGCTCTCTCAAATTTGAGGGAGGGGGCCAATCTAACATTGCTTGGACCTTAAAAAAGTCCACTTCCACCCCAGCTGCTGAAATAACGTGGCCCAAGTACGCCACCTTGGCCTTTCCTACTTCACATTTTTTGAAGTTGGCATACAGCTGATGGTCTGCAAGGGTCTGCAGCACCTGATTCAAGTGTGCTACATGAGTATCCACACAAGGGTTGTAAACTAGAATGTCTTCAAAGAAGACGAGAACAAATTTCCGCAAGAATGGCTTGAATATCTCATTCATAAGTGACTAAAAAGTAGCAGGGGCGTTGGTGGGCCCTCGTGGGTGCGAAAAGCTGTTTTATGGACATCCTTATCTGATGGTACCCATTTCAGGTCAAGTTTCGTGAATACAGTCGAGCCACCCAATTCATTTAACAGTTCATCAATGATAGGGATTGGGAATTTGTCCGGAATTATCTCTTTGTTCAATGCTGTATAGTCCACGCAGAATCGCCATGACCCATCCTTTTTCTTCACCAACAATACGGGACTAGAGTAAGCACTGGTTGACGTTTGAATGATCCCAGCACGAAGCATGTCAGAGACTAAATTCTCGATTTCATCTTTCTATAATTGTGGGTATCGGTATGGCCTAACACTAATTGGGTTAGTGCCACTACGGAGCACAATAGCGTGCTCATGCGGGGGAAGTCCCTATGTTAAAAACATGGTTGAATTCCTGAATTAAGGGCTGGAAGGTCACTGGGATATCTAGTGCCATCTCTTCTGACTTCTCCAACAGATTCAATTTAAACAAGTACCCCTAACCTTCCTTCTGCAAATTTTTGATCATAGCTTTTAGAAAAATCCCTATCCATCCCAAGTGAGGATCACCCATCAAGGTGACCGTATCACCACCTAACTGGAATTTCAGAGTTTGTGTCTTCTAATTGGTGGTGGTTGTACCCAATTTCTCCAACCATTGAATGCCAAGGATTAAATCCAATTACCCAGGGAAACCCGGGGTCGAATAACACCCCCTTACACACGCCCTCGCCTTGCACCGCCTCACCGGTTCCAAGTGTCACACCGAAACTCTTCAACTCCGTGGGTTGTGTACCCAAATTCTGTGCTGCCAAAGTGGAAATTAGGTTATGGGTCGCCCCAGGATCTATCATTACCACCACCGATTTTCCGTTTACAACTCCGGCCAAACGCATTGTTTTCGGGCTCGTCAGTCCCATGACTGAGCTCAGGTAAACTTCTGGGGTCGAATGCCGGTCTGGTAGAGGTACAACGAGGTCACCTGGGTTCGTCTTTACCGCGGAAAAATCACCGGTGTCTATCTCATCCTCCTCATCCACCGTGAGCAACACACTCAAATCGCGGCGTTGACAGCGATGGTTCATCGTCCATTTCTCATCACAACGGAAGCACAATCCCTGCTCCCGCTTCTGTTGCAGCTCTAATTCCGAAAACCGTCTGATTTCTCCGGTGTGTTTGAAGGTGTTAATGGTGGTTCGGTTTGGGTTAAGGTGGTTCGTGTTTAGGGTTGTTGTGTTTTGGTTGCTGGTGTTTAGGTTGGTATTTGGGTTGGGTCGGTAGAACGGATTAGGAGTTCTCCAAGTGGGTAGGCTTCCAGTGGGTTTGGGCTTTGGGCTGCAACCCGCATCGACAACTCCATGGCATGGTCCAAGGAAACCGGGTCCAAAAGCCGGACCTCGACCCGTATATCCTCTTTTAACCCATTGAGATACAACCCCTTCGCAATATCCTCAGGAAGCTCAATAAATCGACGACGATACTCCGCCACGGTGCCGGTTTGCTGGTGGGTGAGTCACTGCTCGTGCAAGGTACCGGTCGTGGTGGTTCTGAAACGGCGGAGAAGTAGTCTCTTCAGCGCATCCCACGTCAGCAAGGGTTGACGCCTATGTTCCCATTGATACCACATCAACGCATCACCATCTAGCGCAACCACGGCGACCTCTAGTTGATCTTCTTTAGTAATCCACCCATCCGGATTAGTACCATCGAAAATAGGCAAATCGAGTTTCTCAATTCCAATTCGATTGCCCACCTTGATGGCCATCGTCAATGTAATCCGAGTGTGGCTGAGATGAGAACGGATTATCCCATTGATTTTGTGATCCATTCACTAGAGAAGAACGAAATTCAGAACGGATTCTCTCCTGCCAGCAGTGTGATGTCCGTTTTGAATGCTGCCATTGCAGTGGTGATCTCCTGAGCAACGCGCGACGGCAACCCTGAGATCTCCTGCTCCAACAAGTCCAGACGCTAACCGTGATTCAGGCGGGCCATCTTCTTTCCCGGCTTGGAACGTCACTGCTTTGATACCGATGTGCTAGAGATTAGTATAAGAAATAGTGAGATAGCAAGCTAGAGAGATAGAATCAATGGCAACCAAGGGAATATCCAACAATACAAACCTTCTTTCGAGAGGAAGGAGCTCTCCAAAAACAAACCTCTTGATTAATTTTTTGATACATTCCCCTTTCACCAATCACGTATTAATACCCCAAAATTAATCCCTAAAACAGACTTAAACACACCTTAAGCATGCCAGCCAAAAAATAACAAACTCATAACAAACTTATCTAGAGATTACTATTTTACCCTTCTCCCCAAACTGAATTTAACAACCTTACAACTTGGCCTTCTAGCATAAGTAAAGCGGATATCAGGTTTAGGCTGATTCCTTAAAGTACCCCACATATCTTCTTCTATTTTGGTATGTTTCTAGTTGCTAACTATGACTCTAGTCTCTAGTATTATCCAACGTATCATCTAAGCTGCTGTTTTGCACATTCAAATGCCCAAAAGCATCTACGAGGTTTAACTCCCTTCCTCACTTTGTCAGTTGTCAAGTTTGAGTACCGAGGTTTTTATCTTTATGCATTCTCTATGGTTCTTTCAAAACCAAGGCCTAATTCAGGACTTCTTTTCTCTTGCAGTCGGGGTCTTCTTGCTCATGATGCCTAGAAAAATCTTATACAATGATATGTAATTCTCCCTAGGGTTTTCTTCGGGATTATATATATATATTGACAAATTATGAGCCTCGGATCAACTTCCCGCTTAGGAGATTCTTTTGAATTTCCAAGATGTTGGCTTATTTGGAACTTTTTTCCACCACATCCTCAAGTGTCCTCCCATCTACCTCCACCACACAACCTAATTAAGTTTTTACAGACACTGCTGGAAACATGGAACAATGGAGGAGTTCCACAGGAATATCAAAAGTGAAAGGAGTATTCGGGCTGAAGACTACAAAGGGTTTTTTATTACACCAATCATTTTTCCGATATGGCACATCATCAATATTCTTTCAGATGACGAAACATGCATTTAGTTGTGGTTTGAAGCTTTGTTTTAAAAAGCGCGCCTTTGGTGCAGTTAGGCACAAAGAGTTACAAAAGGTACGCACCTATGTTGATTTCTCTAGGATGCATTTGTACCTTATGTTGTAAGGCGTTAATAGATGATGCGTAAGATAATTTTTTTTTCAAAAAATTGCCACGTGACTTTGCAGCAGTCAGAATAACTTTAATACTTGAGAGAAAAACCTTTATCTCCCAATTCCTCAAGAACCCTAACTATCAATCACATGGCCTTTTCTCTCTTCTCATAATTCCTTATTTAGACTAATTATAGATGTTAATAATTTTTTTATATATAAATAAAGTGCACCTCATTTACAAAAAGGCTCGCCCTTACCTTGCTCCTAGGCTCCAAGGACTTTTTTGCCTTATTGCGGTTCACGCTTTTTAAAACTAAGGTTTAACGAATAATTTAGCATTGTCTTTAAAAAAAAAGATGCATGATGGGGGAATTCTTCTACCCATTATGTTCCTTCGATTATTGATAGTGATTCTAGGCTCTCCATGTCTAAGGCTCACTTGATAGGGCTTCCATGAACCAGGAAGACGTGTAGTGATAATGGGTATCCTTGTCTAAGGCCCACTTGCTATTTAGCCAGCCATGTTGATTCTCCATTCACCAGAATTGTATTGAATAGGAATTTGTGGACGCATTACATTAGCCTATTGACCCACTTTTTGGGAAATTCATTCTCTGTTGGACATTCTCTAAAAAATCCCTTCTTACAAAGTCATAGGCTTTACTGGAAAAACCTTGAGTACAACCGCAAAATCATTTCCGATGTTTTTATGTCTAATCCAGTCCACCAGTTCATGAGCTAACAAGTAGTTGTCAGCCATGAGTCTACCTTGGAAAAAAGCATTTTTGAAATTCCCTTACAAACTCCCTAATGATCAGCATCATTCTGTGAACAAGGCATCTTAATTGCACAATCCAATAGGTCGGAACTGCTTCACTTTACTAGCATTGCGTTCCTTAAAAATAAAAGTGATGAACGTTCTACTCTTCTCCTTCAAAAGGATGACCTCCATTAAAGAAACTGTCTACCGCATCACAGTTGTCCGATTGAATCAGGTTCCAGTTTTTCTTAATGGAAATTTCATTTAAAGTGATCTTAACTTGCCAATATCCAACTAGTCCAACTTTCTGTTTTGGGAGATCATAGCAAAATAGACTAGAGTGAACCATAAACTCAAGCTTTTTTAATTGAGAAAAATATTATCCAAAGACAGTAATCGTGTCTATGGCATGAGTTATCTAAATACCAGTTCCCAGTAGACCTGAACATTACACCCATATCAGCAATATGCTCAAGAAAGACCTTTGGTGTTAAATCTCTTTTTCAGGGAATCCACAACCATAGAGTTTGTTCTCATATGTTCCATAGACATCTTTTCTTCTCTAAACTCTTTTCTTTAACATGGAACTTAATTTCAATATGTTTGACTTTGATGAGCGCTTGTTGTTATTAAACAGTAGCACCGTAAATATGTCGCTTAATATCTGTAGTGGTCTTTCAATAAAATCTACAATTCACAGAGACAAATTTCTTCAACAATAATGCATGATTAGAATCTTCAAACATGCTATAAACTGTGCTTCTATAGTAAAGGTTGCTTTAGGTTCCTGTTTAGCATTCCTCCAGGGGTTTTCCAGCTAGCAGATAAACATTGAAGAAGATCTAAAGCTGTCATGGCATTCCACATAATTGGATTTCATTATATGAAGACTTGTAATGTTCTGTGTGGAATTGTAAATCTGAGTTTTTCTGATTTTTGATGTAGGTATTATTATCGCTTGCTGTCAGGTCCAGAATCACTGTCAACATTTGAGAGAGATCGGGCATGGCATGTTCCTGATGAACTAAACCTTCAAACTATGCAGGTCGGTTTAAACTTTGAAGTGGTTGTCTTTTTATTATTATTAATGTTTTAGGGTGCTTTAATTGTGATATCTTCTTTTTCCATAGGAAGCATGCAAGGTTCTTGTTGGACACCATGATTTCAGTTCATTTAGGGCTGCTGGTTGTCAGGTTCTTTCTCCCTTCTTGACACTTGATAGTTCTAAGTCATGCATTGGGTTACAGGACAATACTCGTCTGTAACAAAATTTTCTATTTATGCCCCCACAGATCAATTACAACCTTGAATAATCACTAATTTCATGGTTCTCATTATCATCAGTGTAGTTAACATATTGGGAATTTTTCTGATTAATTCCCTGTAATGTTTTCCTGGGAGTGCCCGAATGTTCTAAGTAATGTACAAACTCATCAACATTATAGACATAGGTTTGATTTAGTTAACTTTTGCTAGGGTGGATGCTCAACTGAACCTGACTATTGTCTTAGTTTGCTTCATATCATGTAGTTGCTTTTTTTCTGACTGTCATCTATTACAATTTAGCTTCATTGTACATTGAGGTGAATGTAGATTGTACACACTCCCACCCCAAGCATATTAGTGAACTGACTTTTTTTATTAACACAAAATGTTATATATATATATATTGTAGAAGCAAGGAACTGGTGTTGGTCTGTTCTGTATGAGTTAAATAGAACATGTTATCATTAACCAGCTTCAGGAACCCCTCCCTCACAAAGTTAGATCATATTGCTCAAGACAAACTTATTATGTGTTGACCAATATTTGGATAAAATTTCCCAAAACAAAAATTCTAAGGCATGTTTCACCTGCATTTATTGACTGGAAAAGGAGAATAGTACAGATTATATTAGGATACCATATACTTCCTCTGTCTTTTTATTTAGTGTTAAACTTACTAAAAGTGGCCGTATTTTTTATTTTATTTACTAAAAGCAGCCATTTATGACAAACTACTATATTATAATATTATAATATTATATTTCTCTCCTCTCATGGTCCCCACTTAGACCCATTACTATTTTTTTTTTCCAATATTTCTTTCATACCTTGCTTTTCAAATAACTATTAACACCTTCTTTTATAATTTTTTAATACCTCTACTACCCTACTTACATCTTATTCTATCATAGTGAATTAAAATACCTAAAACTATGTGCCAGTAAAAGTGTATATTGTATACACTGAAAACAAGTCTTATAATGAAAATTGAAAACACGCTATAAATATTCAAGATTAGGGATACTGGTAGTTAAAAAGGAGTATTGTATAATTTAAGGGGTATTGCTAGAAATCAAGCATGTGGTGTATCTCAAGACCAACAACTCAACGAGTCTATTAAGTATTCGGAGATGATACCGTGCAACCAATATCTCTCCTCTTCAAGGCAATCATGAAATCCATGAAAACAAATTTTAGGGGTTGAAATTTCTTATGGTTGAGTAGTAATGAAAAATGTTGTTTGCTTTGACATTGATTCTGATTCAATTATGACAAAAGGGCTCTAGTTTTTTCACTTGTTTTAGGTCTATATGGCTATCTTGTTCCAGAAACTTACCGAGATTTAAATAGCAGTTGATATGACTGAAAATAGCCGATAGTATTACCCGTTTAATTGAACACAATACCTCTTTTAAAACTGTTGGTACCCCCTTAATTTTATATTGTATTCTTATTTAAGTAGCAAAAGATTCAGATCCCTTTAATTATACAATACTCTTTTTAAACTATCAGTAGCGCTTTATTATAAACCTTTAATGTTGTGTTTATATGTATACTATCTCAGTTTCTTATTTTATGCAACAAAATTAGTGAAACATTTCCCAAGACAAAATTTCTTAATGTTGTTTAACGAAACAGAGGTATGTGATTAAGGGTAGGATTTATGCACCCTCTCACTGACACTACTCGCCACCACAAACATCCACCCCATTCAACCACCTCCAACACCCACCCTGCCACCACCATCCACTCAGTCAACTTCCACTACCACCCTCCCTCTCCCCAAAACCACCACCACCTATCCTTCTCCTCCCCAAAATCACCACCAAGCACCCTCCCTCTCCTCGAAACCACCAACACTCACCCTCCCTCTCCCCGCCCAAAACCACCACCACTCATCCTCCCTCTCCTTGAAACCAGCCACCACCCACCCTCCCTCTCCACGAAACCACCACCATTCACCCCCCTCTCTGAAACCACCACTACCCACCATAAAAATATGAAAAAAAAGATTAAAATTGGATATTATTACCTTCTCATCATCAAGAAGGGGTTTATTTGGTCAAATTTGATCTAGAGTTTCATGGTCAAATTTGACCATAAAAACGTCAACCTCAAGCTTTAATGGTGTTATAGAAACAAAAAAGAGAGAGAGGAGGAAGTCAACGGTGACCTGATCTGATGAGGAGGGGTGGCAGTGACGACTTTTATGGGGGAGGAGGAATTGGCAGTGACCCGAACTGATAAAGAGACAATGACCGGTGGTGGTGGTGAGGGTGGTGATGGAGGGGAGAAAAAATATGGCGGCGGTGGTGGTTGTCAGAGAAGAGACAGAAAAGTGGTGGTAAGGGTGGCTTGAGTGAGAGGAGAGAGAAAATGTGATGATGTGGGTGGTCGATGTGGTTGTGACAGAAGAGAGCGAATGTGGGTTAGAGTTTTTATTGAGGGATGATTAAGTCAAATTAATAATTTAATGACATGATTTAATTGTGTATATTGGATTGCAATAAGGGTTGGTAAATTTACTCAAAAATTTACTATAAAAGGGATTTATTTATTTATTTATTTATTTTTTTTGTTGTTGCACGTAACTTGTAATATCCGTGTTTGGCAAAAGTTGCACAAAATTAGATATACACTTAATTGCTGCTTTCCTTAATGTTACAGGCTAAGTCTCCTGTTAGGACATTAGATGAGCTTCATGTCAGCGAATCTGTTTCTGTTCCATATTTTCCATCCTTCACTGAGAGGGAGCAGTGTAATTTCAGCGTTCAGGATTCTCTAAATAATAGTGGAGAAGAGCTCATTGAATCATGTCAACAGTTTGGAATCAGGAGAGGACACCGTTGCTTGGTAGTTAAAGCACGTTCGCGCTCCTTTCTATATCATCAGGTTGGTTTTTCTTTATTTTTCAGAATCTTCCAGTCATTTTGCGAGGGGGGATATGGTGGGTGCCTTCTCTTTAATTTCTCTTAATTTTATAGAATATGCATTTATATATACAATAGAAGCTCCCTGGCAGCTGTACAGATAATGTAGCTTTATGCCTAACATGAAAGCTATGACGACGACGACGACTACAACAACAACAACAACAAAGCCTTAGTACCAAAATGATTTAGGGTCGGCTGACATGAATCGTCATAAGGAACCGTACGATATAAAGAAAGGGACATAATAAGATAACCACTTAAGTGAGTTTGAGAAAAGGTGAGTAAAGTGAGAAAAAGAAAGAGCTTCTAAGAAAAATTAAGGGAATTTTAAAAGAGAACCAAGAATAAAATTCAAGAAAGTTTTAAAGGAGTGGTTAAAACATTGGAGGAAAAAAAAAACATAAAGGTTTGAGAAAACTTTAGCAAAGGAAATCAATACAGTTTGTAAAACACAGATGGGATAAAATAATAAAAGTAAATACTAAGATAAATTTTAAAACGTATATATATAATCATGACATGTCTTTGATGTAAATTTTCTCCCTCCTCACTACCTATCCAACACCATATTTTACTCGATCCCCAAAGCACTCATATCACTCTCAATCACCATCTTCCAAGTTTTCTTAGGTCTTCCCCTACCTCTCGCGATCCGAACAGTTTGCAACTCTTCAAGCCTCCTTACCGGAGTCTCACTTGGTCTCCTCCTAACATTCCCTCATCTTGTACTCAATAGATTTAACCCCTACTTTCTTCCTAATTATCTCATTCCTCAGCCGTTCCTTTCTTGAATGGCCACACATCCATTGCAACATTCGTACTCCGCCAGATTCATCTAATGCACATGGCAATGCTTTATGGCCCAACATTCTGTAGCATATAACAAAGCAGGACTTAATGTCGTCAGTAGAATTTAACCTTTAATGTATAGGGCACGCCAGGATCACATGAAAGCTATGACGACGTTAATAAAAATTTATGAGCTTCTTTTCGTAAAGTCTTGTGTGTATATGACCATTGGCAATGCAAAGGTCAAAGGGTAAAGCCAGGGAATAAGTAGCATTACATTATGCTGTTATCCTTTACCACTTACCTGTGATTATGTGAAGTGGGAAGACCGGTAATAATAATGCTGATGAAAGTCATATGTAGTGTATATATGAGCAAGGATTAAAATTTAAACTTCGTAGGAATGAATGAACCCAGCAGTGGGAGGGGGAGGATAGATAGGAAATACTTACTTGAAATAGTAGCAAGAGTTATGTGAAGACCAGACTACATTCTCTCAGTCACATGAATAATGAATGTGTTACCCTAAACCTCAGTAAACATTTTTAGATTATTATTTTGGATTATACTTTTTTAAATAAGAAAATGGCCTATGGAGACTACTTCTACCCCATGACAAGGATCTTTAATAATTATTTCATATTATTTGTGTTGATGGATATACCTAATCTGTTCAGGTGAGATTGCTCGTTGGTGTTCTCAAGTGTGTTGGCACAGGACAATTAACAGTTACTGATGGTGTGTTTTTTGTACTTAGTTATTCATTTGAATCTCTTTCTCCTTAAACTGTTAGTTTTTTTTTCCTTTTCTTTCTTTTTTGTTTCCCTGAGTGTGGGTCTCTGTTTGATTTACTTTAACTTGTTAATTATTTCCTGTTTTTTTTTTTTTTTTTTTTTTTTTTTTTTTTTTTTTTTTTTTTTTTTTTTTTTTGTGTATGAGGCCTGTAAGGGTTAATTCCGAGACTAATGTGATAAATTATGCAGTGAAATGTATCCTGAATGCAAGATCCGTCACTGCTGCCAGTCCCATGGCTCCTGCTTGTGGCTTATACCTTGGCCACGTTAAATATGATTTCAACTGATGGTGAATTGTTTCTGGCTGAAAAAACCATGCTGATTTTGATGGAATTGGTTGGGGTATTCTTTTCAAATTTATGGTGCCCGTATTACGTTTTGATCTTTCGTGGGAAATCTTAATAGCAGCATATTCCAAAATATTATGATTTTGACATTTATTAATTGTTGTTAGCTTTATATTTGAGGCCTTAGGAACAGCACTTTAATGGTATCTTACACGTTACTATTTTTTCACAAATGCTTGTCATTGATCATTTCTTTACATAGTGTTTTTAATGCATGGTTGATTTGCATTGATCTTTTTCAATTACAGAAACTTTCATATATCTGCAAACATAAATGGTCATGGGTCTGGTAAGTACCTGTATCAAATTGTTTGTTGATACGCATTTTTATATTCTTGTGTGTAAGTTTGTGCACCCGTTAAGACTTGAGTTTAATTAGATGGTAACAAGCTAACGATGAACAACTTAGGATGAACATTTAAAATTTTATCTTAACAATGAACAAAGCAAAGTTTGTTGAACCAATCTTTGAAGAACCTTTCAAACGAATTTTTTTTCCAGAAAAGTCAAAAGTGGGGAATTTTCACTTTGAAAGCATTAAAAATAATCAATTTTGAATGATTATAATCACAACTATTGTCTGAAGGCCAAAACATAGTGCAGGTCAAAATGGGACTTATTGCTAGGACTGCAATGGTCCAAAAAGGGATTGGAATTCCAAAATTTCAAGGATCGGAGGTAGGACTTGATTTTGATTAGGCTTTATGACCCGGTAGATCAGTTTATGCTTCTATCTCTCTCTCTGTTTTTTTTTTTTTTTTTTTTTTTTTTTTCGGCATTGGTTTAAATTTTTTGTGCATCAATTTGACTTTACATAGTTTTAAGAAGGTGACTTGAATGGTGTAAAATATGTTGTAAGTGGGTTTGTAAGGGAATACAAAATTATAGAGAAGAAATAGTGGTGTAATAGTTTATAAAACTAAATTTAAGGCAAACTACTTTAATAAATTTGCTAACTTAGATTTATTCCTATCATAATCTTTAATGTGTCAACAAGTAAAATAATAAAAATACATAAATCGTACAATCAAGAATTTTGTGTAGATTGATGCTGAAATCAAGATAAATGCATGGGAGATAATAAGAAATCTAAACCAACAACCCGACAACACTTGGAAATTCAACGATCTTGAAATAAAGCTTTGATTTTTAACTTTCTTTGAAGAGTTATTGAAGCACAAGGTGTGAAGAAACGAATAGTATTTCAAATGAGAATGACCACCTCATGTAATGATCACTTTGAATTGTCAAATTACTTAGATCACGTCTTGGAACTAAGTTTTTCCACCTATTAATCTTCACCACACATCTTGAGGCCTGAGCTGAATATGTAAGAATAACTCATGCAAAGAATTTACTAAAATCTATAAAAAAAAAAACCAAATTTACCTAGCCTTTTGTCCAAAATGCATGAGTTTGAAAGCAATAGATTTCCTAAGCTTGGTACCCTCCCCCCCCCCCCCCAATTTTTGTCTTTGTTGTTCATTTTTGGTTCTTTTTGTGTTCTTTTACAGTGAAATTATAAATTACCTAAAAAAAATTGAAAAAGGAAAGAGGAGAGAGAGAGGCAGTGTGAACCTAACTTGTGGCGAAAAAAAAATTGTGGGTTAGCATCACTAAAGGGAATTAAAGAAGAAAGAAAATGGAAGTGAAAGAATAGAGAAGGGGAAATCGAGAGGAAGAGGGAAAGAGGAGGGAAACTGTAAGGTATGACATCATGCATGAACGTTTGGGAAAAGTGGTGGTAAAATTAATTTAAGGTTTTGAATAATTGTTGGTGGTAACGTTATTACTAAAACGTGTATTATAATAGGTTGTAATTATCAAATTTTCCTTTTATTTATAAAAAATTTTCTCAAACAGTCTACATTACAATGATTGTTATTATTCTTGATTATTTAAATTCATTAAAACAGAACAATATGATTTACTGGACCTCTTAGGTGATAATTAATATTTCCTCCATTTTTTTAGTTGCATCACTTTATAAATTGCAACTCTTAGACAATTTTTGGAGATGAGAAAGAGAGAATAAAATATATGGACCCATGTGATAGGAGAGAGATAGAGAGAGTTTATTAACTAAAAATAAATGGAAGTGATGCAACTAATATAAAACTTCCGTTTTTGGATAGTGATGCAACTAAAGACAAACGGAGGTGTTTAAGGTAAAAAGTACCCCAATATGTGGTCCAATCCCATAGTGACATGTGGCCCAAGAAAAAGGCAACACGTGTTCCTATAGGAAGATGACACGTGACAACCCTAAGAGCACCTGAATGAGAGAAAGACCTCCTTACATCAGGAGGCCCAATTCCCGAGAAAGCGCTAAAACGATGCCCCCAGAAGGACACTTGTCCTCTCCTGATTACGCCGCCAATCAGAGCACACCATTCTAGGTCATTAAACCCTAGATGACACACTTTCCCACCTCTATAAATACCCCAATCATTTATGATGGGAGGGGTGGATTGAGACATATCATTCAAGAGTATTAAATTGCTCCAACTTCTCTATACTTTCTTTCTCTAAAATTACATTGTCTTCAAATCACTAACTTGATCGTCGAAGGCGAATATTCCGTCAAACGGAATATTTGTTATTTTGCAAGTGTCCAAGACCGTCCGGTTGTATTCAAGACCTGTGTCCCGAGGGATTCCAAAAAACCCCAAAACAGGAGGAAGTAACTAATATTCTTTAATTAAAGAAAGAATACAATGTGGATAAATTAATTACCATTATTTAAGGTGGAAAAGCAATACTAATTTATTAATTATAGTTATTGAAAAAAGTGTTTTAACTAAGTTCTTGGGACACTAATCGTTCCTCTTTTGCTAGATCTCCGTCTTGCATGTTTATGGACTTTGTTTCGGGGTTTTCTGATGTCCTGCGGGAGAGTTACAATTCCGAGACTGGAACCGGACGCTTGTACCTGCAAAACAACGGAGACTCCTTGTGGTGGGAGCTCCGCCTCCAACGGTCAAGTTAGTACTTGATTAAGGAGTAATTAATGCGGAAATTAAAGTGATTGAGTCTCTCTAGGTGAGAGTGTTTAATGTGTGTAATCTGCGTTTTTTGCGTCCTCCCCTTAATGAGGATTAAGGGAGGTATTTATAACCTCGGGAAACGTGCCAATCTAGGTTTAGGTTAACCTTGGGCTGATTGGGCTTCCCTCGGAAGTTGGGCCTAGGTGACCGGTTATCCCAGGTGTCATGGGAAGGACACGTGTCGTGTCGTAATTGGTCCATAGTGGACGGATCATTGCTTGACACGTGGCAGGCTCCTATTGGCCCATGTGACGGACACATGGCGGAACCTGATTGGTCCACTTGTCAGATGGTGATTGGTGGGGAAAAATCCCCTAATCATTTGCCCCTCACAGATGGCACGTGACTGGTCACGTGTTACCTGTGACAGGTATCGCCCTGTAACAGGCGACGGCCTGCTACAGGTGTCACTCGACGAGAGGCCGAGAGATTCTCCCGCCAAAAATTTGAATTCTGGAAGTGACCCTTCGCCTTCTCACTTCGCCTATATAAAGGAGTGTTGACTTCGGTCATTTGCACACTTGAAAACTTTGTGAGAGAACATTCGGACCCCTGAACTTGCTCTGACATTTTGGACCCTTTCTGCCTACCGCCTGCTCTGACAAGCCGATGACAAGCGCACTTTAGGGCGCGCTTTAGAGCATATTTTAGGATGATTTTGGATGTATTTGGGGCCGCTTTGGCCGATTATTACCTTGTTATGCTTACGTTCCCCATATTACGTGCTTCACGGGTTTTCGGTTTGTTTTTGATGTGTTTTCAGGTAATATTAACCGAGTTTAATCGGATCCCGAGCCCTTGATGCGTAACCGAGCTAGCCTTGACCGGAGTCCGAGGAGTTAAGGAAGTTCAAGTGCCGTGCATTGATTACATAGCACAGGCAGCACGGCCGTGTTACCATAGGCACACCCGTGCTGGCCTATAAGCAAGCAACCCCAGGCAAGGCAGCACGGCCGTGCAAGCCAATAGCACGGCCGTGTCAGTATCCACGCACCCGCACGGCCGTGCAGGCCATTAGCACGGCCGTGCCAGATGTTGCCCGTGCCCGTGTCAGCTTCAGTATGAGCCCCGTGCTAGAGCATATTCAGCACAACCGTGTCATTTTTAGCACGGCCGTGCCAGGAAGCTGCACGGCCGTGCCATATATAGCACGGCCGTGCCAACTTGAAGAAGAAACCCGGTTTACTTACTGACAAGCTAGCACGGCCGTGCCAAATACAGCACGGCCGTGCTGATCCAGGGTTAACTGCGCGCTTGACTTCTCCGAATTAGAAGACGTATATAAGGCCCGATTTTAAGAGGATTAAAAGACAGTTTTTGGAGATAGTTTGGAGAGCTTTTGTAGAGAGTTATTGGAGAACGTTCTTAGTATTAGAGATTCATTAGTTTTCTTAGAGAATTTCCTAGAGATTTTAGTTTTCTTGGATTGATTTGAAGCAAGATTTGCGAAGGTTCTTTGTATTATTCATTGACGACGGATATCAAAGTTCTGAACTTTTCCATTGATTCGCATCAACACAATTGGTATTATTCATTCTTGTTTATTAATCAAGCTTTATTATTCCTTAATCAGAATTCATGTTTATATCTATTATGCTTTTGGAATTCATTATTGCTTTGATTATGAATATGTGTGAGTAGTCTCCTAGCTAGGGTTTCGGGATGAAACCCGGCCTAGGTAATCTATGTAATTGAGGATTGATTTTGATAAACGGATTGTGATTAAATTGATTATATGCGATTGCATGTTAATTCATTATAATAGGAGTAGCTAACCTAGAATCTTGAATTTGATTGCATGATATTCTTGATTTGAACAAGAGATTGTGAATTGAGTATTTCATTATTGAATGTGGTTTGATTATGTATCGAGTAATGTTAAGTGCATGAGAAATCCAAGCTTAGTATTGCCCGTTGTCTTCCTATCACATGATATTGATCAGACCTATAGTCTTTGCATATCCCGTTTGTCTCTGTGATTCCTTGTTGCTTAGTTACCAATGGTTAGGCGGATTCCCGTTCTCCCTAGTGTCTTAGTTTATTGATTTATTCCATCTTATTAGTAGTATTTTAGAACACCATTTTCCATTGATTTCGAACTAGCTTAGGTTTAAGATTGATTTGCAATTACTCTCGTTCCTCGTGGACCGAACCTTTATTTGCCATTGTACTTGGTTATAGGGTGTTCGTATAAGTATTGTTTGATTAAGAGTTAGATTGTAGCGACCGATTTAACCCCTGTCAAAATGGCGCCGTTGCCGGGGAACGGTGTTTGTTAATTGCTTTTTGATTTCTTGAGTCTAGTTCATCGTAAAAATCACAAAAAGATTTTTCCCTTTTGGCTACACTTGTAGCCCTGCTATTTAATTGGTTTGGTTAGTGTGTATGCGCAGGTCTAAACAGAGAGAATTAATACCCTTCGATCCAGAAATAGAAAGAACTTTGAAGAGCAATCGTAAATCTCGATTGACTTCATCAAACTCTCAAGGAAAGGAACACAACACACAACAGGTTCCAATGGCAGACATACCGCGCCAACCCAATCGGCCAGCACCACGACCCCTTAAGGAGTTGGGAACTCCTGGGGCGTATAGAGCTTCAAGTGGGATTGCTCCACCCACTACTGAGGCCAATGATTTCGAGATCCGGCCGGCTATGATCACCCTCATCGAGAGAAGGCAGTTTAGTGGTGCCAAGCATGAGAGCCCTTTGGCTCATTTGAACGAATTTGAGAAGTACTGCAATACCATCAAGGTTAATGGGGTGAATCAAGAGTTCGTGAGATTGAAGCTTTTCCCCTTTTCACTTATTGGGAGAGCTCTCGAATGGTTAGAAAAGGAGGTGAAGCCGAACTCCCTACACACTTGGGATGATGTCACGACAGCATTCTTGGGAAGATTTTACTCCCAAAAGAAGACGGCCGATGCTAGAGCTTTGATCCAGGGATTTCGGCAAAGGAGTGGGGAGTCAATCTACGAAGCCTGGGAAAGGTACAAGGAGTATCAAAGAGAGTGCCCACACCACGGAATCCCAACATATCAAGTTTTACAGATTTTCTATGGAGGATTGAGTCCTCAAGGGAAGACCAGTTTGGATGCGGGAGCAGGTGGCCCCATTATGAACAAAACCGAAGAAGAAGTCATTGATATCATAGAAGATGTGGTACGACACCACATGGATTGGCAAGATGGAGAGCAAGAGGCCATGAGCAAGAGTGGAGGAGCGGTCTATTCGGTAGACCATCTTAATGCAATCGGGAATTTGACATCGCAAATTGTAAATCTAGGTAAGGAAATGTCAATTATCAAAGAGAAGCTCAACGATCCACCGCATCAAAATCTTCCATCCTATTCTAAGGGAGCAGGTATGCACTCTAACTCTAATAATATGCCTGCTGGATGTATATTCTGT